TCAAGCTCACTGCAACACACTGCTGTAAGAGTATAACCAGGAAGCGAGGTAGGAGGGCAAAATAGGTTTAGTGCCACCGCAGCACGGGAGGAGAATTACACCCTGGAGCAAATGGATAAAAATAGACCGGAGGAAAAACAAAACATGAATCGATTCTCTTGCGGAAGGATCGATGCATCGGATCGTCGGCTGTTAAAACGATTATTATTTACACCCCTGGTCCTCATGCCTGCACGAACATTAGGGGGTCGATTCAGGGTACGAGCATAGGGGGGGGGGGAGAAGCAGACGACCCTGATTGTGTCAGGAACCAATAGTGGACCACAGACCATGTTTTGTGATTGATGGATGTTACTCAATGATTTCTCACTGTAGCGGGGACCTTTTTTTTCCGTTTCACTTCTAGATCTTCTATTTCTTTAAGTCACATGATAAAAAAATGCATCAGAAAAGTTCTCCTGCCTTTAAGAGTAATTTTCATGTGAATGTGCTTTACTGGAGGCATCCATGTTTGTCAAAGAACACACCCGATGTATTTCAACATCCAGCTGTGATGCACTTGGGTATTGTCAAAAAAATGGCCGCTCCCAGACTGAGTAATTATTGTTTTTATTTTTTACTGATTAACGCTAAATTCATTAAATCACCGCAAACGTATTAGTTATAGATATAGATAATGATCGATTTGTTATTCCTTGCTGACCGGACTTTTCTTTTAAAGCCTCTGCCAGTTCGTTTACCACCTGGGATCAACATTTATTATGCAACTAAATCCTTTCCAAACAAGCAAATGATGAAATCATGACAGAAATCCTGAGTTTCTGTCGTGTTCAGCTGCTCACAGGAGGCCGTTCCATATTTTCCATATTTAAACTCTCCACGCTGATCCAGCCCATAAATACTTCAGGATAACTGCGTCTCATTTGCATCAGCTGCCGTCATGAAACGCTTCCATACCTTTACGGCCTCGCTGACGGATGACACGCCGTTTCCAGTGGTGGGGGAGGCAGCGATGATGGCGTAGGCCACGCCGGGGCCCGCAGAGGCGTGCTGGGCGGGGCTGCCCAAGTCGGGGCCGACCGATGGAGCGAGCAGCGGGGCAGAGGGGGGTGAGACGTTGCTCTGGCTGTTTGGCTGGTGGTCGGAGCTGAAGGTGCTGTTGGCGGTGGGCAGGGTGGGGGCCTGGCTCTTAGGGCTGACCACAGCAGTGACTCTCTGCAGGCTGAGCGGCTGCAGCTCCTGGCAGGGACTGTGGGGGAGACTGTCGGGGATCTGGGTCTTTGGCCTGACCTGTTTGGGAAGAAAGCAATGGGAAAAAAAATGATTTTCAGGTTTGGATTTTCTGGTTTTTCATGTGTAAAATAAAAAAATTATTCTGCTAAAAACACCTTAAAGCAGGAAATGAGAAATCATCCAGCTCTGCTGCCACCTGCTGGACTCAACCCAGCAGGACTGAACGTTTCATCTAGTTTTATTTCACTGAATGTGTAAAACTCTCCACCGAGGCAAACGGATGTGGAAGCAGCTGCTGGGACCAGAATAATCAGGAGCAGCGGGCCACTGGTTTATAATTACCAGCGGCGTCAAAGGTTCACACATTAGTTACTTCAGTAGA